GAAATTATTAAAAAGTGCAAAGTACCCAATAAACGTCTATTAAAAGATAAAGCTTTGTTTTTTCATTGATTATTTTTATGAAGATGTGAAGGAAATTTCTCCTACATTTGGTAAAGGCCCACTCAAGTGGAGGGGCATATAGTATGTAGTACGTTCACACAGGAAACGATGCTGTGCGGAGCTGAGTGATTTCTTGAAAAAGCCATTTAATATTGAAGGGCTGGAACTCTCCGTTGTATATTCAGATATCCGCATACAATTTGCGGCCAAGGGGAGAGAGGGAAGAGAGATATTGATTAGTGAAGTTCGTTGCTATGGAGTGATCGGATCGTGAGCAGTCAGCCGATTCAAAAAGGCTCTATCTCAGCACATTTTCAATGTACGATGTCTTCAGCTGAGATAGGGCGTTCTTTAACCAAATTCTGAGATAGTGTTTTTCAATAAAAGTCTGAAANATTGTCTCATTCCCTTTGTCTTCCGCCAGCGGGCAGCAATGTGAAGTTCTTCCTAGGTCCTAAACAGTTCTTAAGTGTGTATATTTGCGCGACAATCAGTCCTTTTGTAGCCTTTCAACCCTTCATGTACCGGAACCCACCACAACGTTACGCTATTGTGGGCTCTCAGGTGGTTCAGAAGAGTATTACAGCTGTCCATAAGCCTCAATGCCTTTTTGAAAGGGTCCAGAGCCTTACTCTGCTTTAATATCCGACATAATATTTATTCTGGCCACAATTGCCTTCTGCGAAGACATACGCGAGCACAAACTTCATTGCGAAGATTTTCGCCTGGAATATTTTTGGATATGTGGCCATTGGCAGACTTTTATGGAGTCGTGGTACGCATATCCAGTACTCCCGTCGTCTAGCTTCGATCCGTCGACATACCATACTTAGGACCCTTTATCAATCATAGTGATTATCGCTCCACAGAAATCCCTTTCAGGAATTCTGACCTGGTAGGGTTTGTAGAAGGTTAATTTCGGTAGCATGATGTCACCAGCTACCCAGCAGGATATCACCCTGATATAGCTGCGCTCCTCAGAGGTCTAAATGGCATGGTAGTGAACTTCAACATTCAAGTCTGTCAAATGAACGTAGGGGAATGCTCTTGGCTGCCCCGACTAATATTATAGGTGGCTGCAGCAGCTCAAATTTTTAGCGCTGGTCTGATAAACAGCGACCTATGCTGGGCTCGAATCGTAACATCCGTTCACGGATCGAAAACGATACGAAAGAAAATTACGTGATACGTCACGCAATATAAGCTGAATGGCACACAGAGTACGTTCACGTATGCCATAATCCGAAAAATGCGTTTTTACGTGACGAGTAGTACGATATCGTATGTGACGATTCGAGCCCAGAATACGATGTTGCAATTTTGGCGACATTCAGCCTTATTGCGAATGTCGTGTGGAGTGCAAGTCGAGTCGTATCGAAAATTACTAAAAGGGAAAACTTGGCAATACTGGATAGTTTTCGACGAATATTGTAGTTCATCCATTACAGCCTCATTGCGAGTGTAGTGTCGAGTGGAAGTCGTTTTTCTAGAGCAGAGCCCTATTGAAAATTGCATGGATAGTTTTCGACAACTTCCCTCGTCTACTTTTTTCAGAACAACAGTCTACAATGCCCATGATGTGTAGTCGTGCAATATAGGGTGTGTTGAGAAATGCATCATGCCAAAGCATCATACGCTTTTATTTCTAAACTATAATTGATGGAAATGTCCAATATGTGCAACCACGATTAAGTGCCTAATAGGAACGTAATTGCGTAAATAAGGCATTTCCATCAGTTGTAATTTAGAAGTAAAAGATACTGATGCTTTGGCTTGATGCATTTCTGAACGCACCCATAGTCTACTTTAGCGAAATAAATCTGATGCAATCGAGAGGTCACATTTAATAAAAGTCATTGATGATCAATAATAGTATGAGTGTTTTATTTGTTACTAAAATGCATATTTAATAGTTTTGGGCTTGTTCGAGTTCCAACCACAACCGCAGTGTTGCGCGAATTATTAAAGTATCAAGTTCTGTTTAGATTTTTGGAAACGTTTTATCAAATGGGAAGTTGCAACAGTCATGCATGTTTTCATCAGCGCTGCAGTACTGCCGCTTTTATTACGTGCCTCGAACAGGCCCTTTCTCACACATTTCGTTGATGACAGGTATTACGTCCAAAATTGATGAATTGTAATTTTCCAAAATTACAGATAATCGATTGTTAGTATTTATCAATCAATTGTTAATTTTAAATTGTCCTTACAATTTATATTTGCCAAACACTGCCTCTAGCAAACAAAGTCGAGGGAGATAATACATACATACATACATACATATGTACATATATTCCACACTAACTACAATATCTCTTTAAATGCAAAAACTCACCATCAACTGTCGTTGTTATCCCCATGGTTTGTATAATACCATAAATCAAAGCAAAGTAAATGCCTTTCTATTGTTTTACAGTACAATATTTTTTTGATATATTTCTGTTTGTAACTTAAATTATACAAAAACAATTGGTTATACATATTCTATGTACGTTGCGTTGGTATGTAATATGTATTGGAAAGTGTGGGTACAAAAGTTATTTAACGATTGATTGTTGAAATTATGGATGCATGTTTTTAATTTGTTTTTTATTAAATAAATTTAAATATTTTCACATTATGTGTATAAAATAAGATATGTAATCAATAAATCATAAACTAAATTGCATTAGTGTTCTTGTTGTTGAATTTTATTTCTAAAATTAAATGTCTATAGGTTTTCAATGCATACGCCGCTTGTTTGCATATTTGCATCTAGATCGAATCTAAATTATTACACAAAAATTGGGAATATTCTGAATTACCCAGCTACAAACACAAATGTGTTTTATGTATTTCATACACAAGGGGTGTAGCGGTGTTATCCTCCTTCCTCTGATGACTTAAAAATTATATTTATTATGGTATAGTGTGTTTTCTTACATTTATGTATATAAGATAAAATTGTTAAGAATTATGCTAAAATTGTTTAAACTGAAATTGTATTTGTTAGCGTATCTGTATTTATATGCGTGGATGCGTCCTTCTTCGACGAAAAATCAAAAAAGTTAACACAATTATCGTAGTTCCATTCATTTGTAAAATTTTTACTAAAACTTATTTAGTTCCCTCCGCTGTAATAAGAATCACCATGTATTTTTTGCGATGCGATTGAGGGGGTTTAATTATAATCATTTTACTTTACTTTTTTATCGTGTTTTATAAATGAAATCAAATTCATATTTTCAAAGATTTCTAATGTTTGTACGCTAATACGTTCTACTAAATACGTGAGTATGTGTGTTTGTGTGCATGATTAATAATAATAATAATAAAGAGAACATTCCATTGCCATTCACACATTAAATGGCAACACATTCTTATTTACTTATAGACCTAAGTATACATATGTAGCTATGTATACAAATGTATTGCAAGAATTGATGTGTTTATCATAGTTGATAATGAAATAAATTCATTATTATTTCCTAAACATTATGCTATGAATAATTTCTATGTATATATAGTGATCCCTATATATACTATGAAAAAGTTTGATGTATATGCCAGCTCGTCTCACTTTTCCCGCTTCTTCCGTCTGCTATACTTTCATGCATTTTCCATACAACATTCATGTACATTCATCATCTACAGTGTTAAGTGGTGGGTGGTGGTAGTAGTGATATAGCGTTCGGAGAGCATGCTACATTAAACTTTTAACTCTACTCTTAGTTATAAGTCAATATCATCTTCACAAATAGTGTCCCTCGACCTAAGTGGCGTACATCAGTGTTTACTTAGAAGCGATAGTTTTCATCAGCCATGTGTATAGCCCACATGAATTTGTTTCTCTGAGTTTTATTGAATATCTTCTCAATTGGTACTCCATGCTTTTTGCACCTACAAATATAATGAGTTTAAATTTTGTTCGCGAGTGTATAACTTTTCCATGTATGGTATCGTAATGTTACGTTACACTATACCCACCATGCGACAGTAATACGTGGATCCAAATAGTTCAGTTTTGAGGTGCCTAATGCGATCGTTTTATTCTCATCCCTATCAGTCTCTTGCAATTCCAATTTCTTTAGCTGCTCCTTTAGTCTTTCCAGTTGCTTAGACTTTTTGTCAGCCATAACACGCTCTTTTACGGAGCCACGCTTAGCGGCTCTCTTAAGATCCTAAAACACGGAACATACATATTATGTTTATTTTATATAAAATAAAAATGCGGTATACATCTATACGCATACGTTATTCTTGCACTTACATGATACTCAGATTCAGCGTCATCAATCAGCTCACGCTTCTGCCGTATCTTCTCTTTTAAGTTCTCCATAGATTTCTCATGACCTTTTGGTACTGAACGTTGATGGTTACATAATATGGCGACTGCACGATTAGCGCGATTATAGGCAAGCAATTTCTCCGCAGGCGACATACTCTCTTCAGTGAGCAAATCCAATTGTTTTTGTAACGTAATTGAGGCGTTGTAGGTACGGAACACTTTGGCAGTGAGTCCTATACAAAATAAAATAGTAGTAGTTAAAATATATTTATAAAATTATACTATATCTAATATACCTTCCATAAGTTCCTTCAAATGTTCATTGAGCACTTGAGTGTTTAGACGATCGAATAGATCGTCGCCATCCTTTTTGTTTTCCAAGAAAAGTTCGAGGTTTTTGAATACCCGTTTCTCAACTTCAACCTCGTTGTAATAACGGATTGAATCTTTACCAAGAAAATCAAAGACGACAACGTTTTCCTTTCCATTTAAGTGCTTTTCCAATTTAACGTGCTCAACACGGAGAGAACAACAACCTACGGTGTCGGCTTGATCTTCATCCTTTTCATTACCTGCTCTCAGCGCCAATTTATCTATGAAATATAATGCAACGGCCCGCTGACGTACACGCATCTCTTTCGATTTCCATTCGTCGCGATATGTCGCACGTATTTTATCAATCGATTTTGCTAAACGACGTGCAGTTTCGTACTTAACATGATCCTTTTCGCCCTTCAATTTTGATGATGGATTCAACATAATGTATTTTACCTGGCCCTGTACATTCTCAGTCCAAGAGGCCAACCAGGTAACAGTATTGTCGTGACGCACTTCCTTCCAGCGATGACCCTGCGGAGGAGATGGAATTTTCGATTCTTTTCCACAGTTAATGGATACATCTCCAGCCTGAATTCGTCGTTTAATCATGCCCATTTTTGGATGCTCCCCACGACCACGAAACAGACCTGGTGGTTCTAATTTGAAATTGCCAATTTTTTCTTTGTGACCGTCGATGATACATGTGCCATATTCTTTAATCAATGCTTCATTTTCTAATTTCCTGGCTAGTTTCTCCTCCTTAGTCGCATTCTTGCGTTTCTCAGACTCTGCAGTGAAATATTTAAACATTTCTTCAAAATTGCACTTGTTGAAGTCTTTTATAATTTCACGTTCCTTCGATGTCATTGACTTGCGGAAGTCCTTAAAGAAGTTGTCGTTGAAAATCTGTTTTGTGCAATAATCGTGATTCAACATTTTTGCATAAAATGTAGCTGCCTCTTCTGTCTCTTCGGATAACTCCATGGGTTTGCCATCGTAGTAGAAACGCACATTCTTCGGCACGCGTTCATAGGGTGCAGCAAATACTGGTCCTTTGTGCTCTAAAGTATTCCACTTTACACCGTCTTCGCGCTTCTCTTCTTCCCACCTGAAAATTTTGTTTTGAACAGAATCTTTAGTTTTCACTTTCTTTGTTGGTGATTTTAGCGCAGCTATTGACACTGGCTGAATTCTAACAGATGTGGTTCTCTTCGGCAGCTTAGCATTAAACACATTTGAAATGGTATATGATCGGCGAAACCAAATATTCGGCTGCTCGATGTTTATGGCGAAGACAACGCGTTGCGTTCCTAAAATAAATGCACACGTTGCCTTCGCCATCAAATTGCAGCGTTGTTTTCACCACCATTACGCAAACGACCCACAAAAACAAGTAAATTTGTAATGCTGTAAAATGACAGCTGCTGACAGCAGTACGTAACCTCAAATATCTTTTCAATGTGTCAATTGCTAAGGATTTAAAACTGTTGCTTCAGTTGCTTTCAAACTGTTAAGGTCTCATTATGGCAACTTAACGCAACTTGGAGGCTGTCCAATAGAAATTCTCTCAAATGGAAAGCCAAACCCCTGTTAAGGTTAAGTTGCCATAAGCAGGCTTTTAGCTTTCTAATAGCGAAGAAAGAGACAAGAAACGTCAAAACAAAGTGAAGCAACCGTCAGCTCAGAAAGCAACGAAAACAATTTTTTTTTTTTATTGAAATATAAAGGCTATTGTCCGAAAATGTCTTGTCGCTCTCTTAGTCGCGTCGCTAGGTTTGTCCGTCGAGCAAAAAATTTGTACGAATTATCATGATGTATGCCCAAATCTCGTTCGTGGAGACCAAGAAATGATCCATCACTCAAAAACTGAGTGCACAAAGTGACAGTTCTCCTGGAGAGAAGTTGCAAATTCTTAGGTGCAATCCCGTATTCCTCGGACTAAAACTAGTAACTGTCAAAAAATAAAAATTTGCTCAGAGCGAGAGAGTAACATTGAAAAGTACGGGATCGCTTTCTAGTAAAAAATTTCAACTTCAACATAACCTCCAAATTTTGGTTGTAAATTTTTCCTTATTTGGTATGTAAACACACTCAGCTCACACATGGAAATAACCAAAAATACTTTCAAATTCATTAGAATCCACTTAAACAAGTAATTAAATACTTTTCAACATGAATTAGCAGAGTGCACTTTTCTTTTGTTTACAATTTGGTTGCCAAACACACTACAGCTGATCGTTTGACACATTTACCAGAATTTACCTTTGTTCGTCGAGCAAAAAATTTGTACGAATTATCACGATTTTTGCCCAAATCGCGTTCGTGCAGACCAAAATATTATCCAACACTCAAAAATTGTGAGAGCAAAGTGACAGTTCTCTTGGAGAGATGTTGCAAATTCTTGCTGGAAAAAATTTTGCCAGCAAGAATTTGCAAACACGAAAAACATGTGGTTGTGGCGCATGGTTGCATTTTTGTCTACAATAATTTGAATAAATTAGTTCGTTAAATTTAAAAATTTATAAACACGAGCGATTTTTTTATGAAAAAAGGAAGTAAATAATTGTTGATATAATTAATTTAGTTAATTCCAATGATTTGAACTTAATTCGGCTGAAAAAAATGGTATTCGCAATCGGAATGCAATTGCAACCAGAGTCGATTTAAGAAACCCGACAGCTAGTACGATGAAGAAATTGAAATGTATGTTAAAGAAAGTCAGAACAACAAGGAATATACATGTACATCCTGTTTTTGGCCATCCGAAAGAATTTTAAAAATTCTATAAAAAATGCTTTTTTGAAATGCAACCGTGGACGCCAGCTGGCAGGGAAACTTGCAAATTCCTGCAAATTTGCGTTCGTGCAGAAATTTGCAAGTTTCTCAACATGAGAGAGAATTTGAGAAAATTTTTTCTTACTCTCTGATATTTTGAGTGTTGGATAATTGTTGCTGGATTTTCGACGAACAAACCTTTTACCAGCAAAAAATTCTCGGACTAAAACTGGTAGCTTCTGACAGAGAGAACCGTATTTACTCTCTTTTTTTGTCCTCTCAATAGTCAGAGAACCGAGTACGGGATCGATTTCCAGTAAAATCCGACTGATTCTGACTATTTCTGACTAGTCCGGACTCGTACGGGATCGCAACTCTTGCTAGAAAAATTTTAGTCATCAAGAATTTGCAATCACAAAAAGCATATGATTGTGGATAATTTGAATAAATAAGCTCGTTAAATATAAAAATTTTTAAACATGAGCGATTTTTTATGGAAAAAGGAATTAAAAACTTGTTTATATAATTAAATTAGTTAATTTCAATGATTTTAACTGTACTCGGCTGAGAAAAAATTGTATTGGCAATCGGAATGCAATTGCAACCAGAGTCGATTTAAGAATCCCGATAACTCGTACGATAAAGAAATTGAAATGTATGTTAACGAAAGTCAGAACAACAAAAAATATACATGTATATCTAATGAATTTTAGAAATTCTATAAAAATTTATTATGTTTGAAATGCAACCGTGAATACCAGCTGGCAGTGCAACTTACAAATTCCTGCAAATTTGCGTTTGTGCAGAAATTAGCAAGTTCCTCAACATGAGAGAAAATTGTTCCTTAATCTCTGTAACTTTGAGTGTTGGATAGTTCTTGCTGGATTTTCGACGAACAAACCTACTATGTTCTTTGATACACAATATAAACATACATACATACAATCAGCTGTTCAACCAGTTAAATATTTAGCGTACTCGCTGTGTTTCGCCCTCAAATATGGTAAACACGAATTCCAGAGCATCTAATAAATGATTATTTTCTATTTTCTTTTGAGTACTCACCACCTCCAGACCTCCTCTTCTTCTTCTTCTTTCTTCTTGCGCTTGGTAGGAGAAGCAGTCTCCTGTTTTACTTGTGTCTGTTCGGCCTTTAAAAAGTAGTAGCATAATAGAGATATTTAATTCATCTTAAAATTGTACACTATACCTTTTTAGTCTTTTTCTTTTTGGGTTTTGTCTCTTCATATTCCTCCTCTTCCTCTTCTTTAACACGTTTCTTTTTATTCTTAGACTTGCTAGCAGATGGTTCCTTTTTGGGCTTCTTTCGTGCCAACAATGGCACATCCTCATCGTCATCTTCATCTTCAGGTTCGGCCTTTATTTTACGCTTAGCAAGAGGTACATCCTCTTCATCATCTTCATCGTCAGCAAGTGGATCACGTGGTTTAGCACTTGTTTTTCGCTTAGCCAGAGGGATGTCTTCCTCGTCGTCTTCACGTTCTGCACTTCCCCCTCGTTTGCTATCTTCATCGCCACTGGCCTCTTCTTTTACAACAAATGCCGGCTCATCCTCCTTAAATTGTGACATGGAATAGTCACATGAGCTGGCCTGCGAAATATTTATATTATTTTGTTCTTCCATTTTAATGAACGATTTCTCTTCATAACCATTATTAGACTGATTATTATCAAATCCGGTATTTGATTCATCCATATAATCGTTTCCCACTGGTTCTGGTCTGAGTGCAGCAAAATCAGTATTATAACCGTTTGATTGTGAATCAGCTAAAGGTTGCGAGATCGGTTCGGGTTTAATAAATTCCCCATCTAATAATTTTGGCTTGTCACCGGATGATGATTTCGAAGAACTAGAGCTGGAATGTTTGTGTTTCGAAGACGACGAACTGCGATGGCGATCCTTATCCTTGTCCTTATCGCGGGAGCTAGATGAGGATGATGATGATTTATGGTGACGATCACGTTCCTTGTCTTTATCTTTACTCGATGATGAGCTACTACCCTCTTGCGGTCTTTATCTTTTCGATCTTTATCCTTGGAAGAGCTCTTATGATGGCTAGAGCTCGATGAAGACGATGATTTGTGTTTATCCTTGTCCTTGTCACGGTCTTTATCCCGGTGACTCGAGCTCGAGCTAGAGCTGTGCTTGCCATCACGGTCTTTATCGCGATGTTTATCCTTGTTACTGGACGACGAACTGCTATGGTGTCTATCTTTGTCGCTAATGTTGTAAAAGTTAAGATTCAAAAATAGCCCAAAAATAAAAGTTACTTGACCGATAATATACATTAGTACCCAACGGGACTGAAAGTGAGCTGCTCCCAAAGGAGCAAGTAGAGAGCAGTGCAAATGCAAAGTCAAAAATAAATTTTTAATTTTCTAACAATACTCAGAAACATGATACATGATATATGATCATGCTCAGAAATAAATATCATTTTGAGTAGTTACATAAAATATTTTCTTTTGAAAAAAATTAATAATTTATGTACAAACATGTATGTATGTATGTATTTTCATATGTATATCACATAGAAAAGCAAAAAAGTAAACTCCACTATAACTTATCAAATGGTTAACAAAAACTGCATTATTTTATTAAAAGATAAGTATTATTAGGAGAAGTTAATGATTCGCATGCATCGCTTTTTAAATGCTATAGTTGAAGCGTTCACCAAGGCCTCCTTTAGGAGCACCAAGCGAGTGCTTTTTCTAATGACCAGGGAACGGATTTTATGAAAATTTCCTTTTTTCTGCTAAAGAGATAGCTTTCCCTAATTCCATATATACACATTTAATGTTGCATTTTTTAAGGTATTTGTCTTTTTTGCCTGTTGTACCTTTAAAAAAGTGATTATAGCGAGGAAAAAGCCCGTATTCCTTATAATATAAAAGTTTCAAATGTTTCATATTTAAATTGGGCGCCACTTAACTCGACGTCGAGCGCACGTTTAGTACATCAAAGGCTGTGTTAAAGCCTGTTCTGTTACAAACAAAAATCAAGTTGATAATGAAAAAAATCGATGGATAAATAAAGAAGTAATAAGTGGTCATATGAAATTGCGCAAAGATTTTTTTGTATGAAAAATTAGCAGGAAAGTATGTTACTCATACGCCATGTACACCTGAAAATATCTCGAAAACTTATCCATAGAATAAAAAATTAACTTGATTTTCGGAATCAGCGAGCAATTCTGNCTTCTTTTGCCTCTTTTGCTATTTCTAGTTCCTTTTCCTGCCATGCTATTTTATTTTGCCTTTTCCTGCCAATTGCGCTATATTATTTTGCCTTTTCCAGCCTATTTCATTATTTTATTTTGCCTTTTTTATAGGTTTTTAGGTCCGAAAAATCCGTTCCCTACTAATGAGACACAATGTTAAAATACAATGAGGTGTGAAATTAGGAAGGGAGCGCTTACTGCTTCTAGTCCCGTTGAGTAATTAATTGACTACTTACCGACTGCTACTTTTGTGATCCTTTGAACTCGAGCTCGAACTTTTATGATCGCTACGGTCTTTGTCACGGTGTTTGTCCTTGCTAGAGGATTTATGCTTACTGCTGCTGCTACTACTGGTGTGATGGCCGTTACTTACTCCATTCAACTGCACCACTTCAGAAGACCCATTCTGAGTCTTGATGTCCTAAAAGTTGAAGATTATGTATGTTAAACAAATATTTGATTTGTTGATTATTGATCTTTTTTATAGCATTATACTATATATATTGGTGGTGGTTTATCCTTCCGACAGGAAGAAAAAATTATGTATTTTGGTACAAATTTCAGTCACTTTCGTTTTAGGACAAAAAATTGCATTAAACACGGCACAACACCGAAACAGTGTTTTCTCCAACTCAAATTTCGCTCCAAAATACATTATATAACATAAATTATTACACATGGTTTACGATGCTCCAGTGAAAACATCCTTCGACTCGGCACCCATGGGTGGACAACGAAAGCAAAGAGGCTCACGATCAAAATAGATGGACCAAGTGCAGAAGGACCTGTTGTTGTTGGTGTCTGCGATCGGGATTACCAACTTGCGCAAATTTACACAGGAGAGAGGCAATGGAGGAAGTTTTTTTTGGTCTCGGTCCAAACCGACAAACGGTTGTAGTGCCAAATAAAAACGTATCGCCGAGCATTTCACTTTTAGTACTTAAGTGGTTGCCTAAACTAGTGGAGGCTGTGATGTATGTGGCATGTGTGTGAGGTATGTGTGTTGTAGGCGGTACAACAAAACAACATGTATGTGGCAGGTTCTTTCCCGCACTCAACGCAGGATTCCGCGCATTCCGAAAACAGCCCACAAATCAGTCTCGTACTCAAAAAAGGTATTAAAAAGCGAAAAATGGAACGTATTGGATCGTGTGTTCTTTTTTCTACACGAAACAGGCCGTCAGTGTCAAAGCGGATATCAGCTGTTTTGTGTTTACAAGTTGCTTGCATTTATTAGGTTTGTTCATCAAAAATCCAAAAAGGCTTATCCAACAATCAAAATATCAGAGTAAGCAAAAAGGCTCTTAAATTTTCTCTCATGTAGAGAAACTTGCGAATTTCTGTACGAACAGATTTGCAGGAATTTTCAAGTTTCTCCGCCAGCTGGTGTCCACGGTTGCATTTCGAACATAATAAATTTTTTTAAATTCTTTCAGGTGGACAAACAACAGGATATACAGTATGTATATTTCAAATTATTATGACTTTCTTCAGCGTACGTTTCAATTTCTTTATTTGATGATTTCCGGGTAGTTTTGGGTTCCCGCGTTTGTGATTGCAAATTTTTGCTGGCTAAAATTTTTCCAGCAAAAATTTGCAACTTCTCTCCCAGAAAACTGTCACTTTGTGCTCTCAGTTTTTTAGTGATGGATAATTTTTTGATGATGATAATTCGTACAAATTTGTACAAATTTTTTGCTCGACGAACAGAACTATTTTGTGCTTTAAAGGAATAGTGTATGACAAGTGGACGCATTTTCAACCCTTATATACATATTTATTTATTAATGTAAGCGAGAATCAGCTGTTTCTAAAATTCTGGGCACGAAATGTGGTTTCCCCGTACTTCTGGACATTGTACCATTTTAGTTAGCAAATTTTCGCTATTCTCTTATTTGTACGGAAAAGATGGCCAGCTCTCAACTTTTGGTGTGCGTTGCTAGTCAGTTACTTCAAATGAATAAAATTATGTGAAATATATTTCCTATTTAATCATATGCGGGCAAAAATATCGATTTTCTTACAAGTTATGAAAGAATTCCCTGCCAAGCTTTTATTGTAGCAAGCGTACTTTTAACGTTCGTTCTGTCAAATTAGCGCAAAGCAAACGCGAAAATTCTATGTGGACCGGCCTTTACTATCTTTTATTTAGGCTGAACTCATTAGTTTTTTTAATTTGTCAACATTTTAGTGCACTATTAATTCCCAAATGATACTGACAGTTCATGACGTAGATATAGGTACAATATCGAGTGCATTCATAAATATTTAAACAAACACACATGCATATCTACATGTACATATGTATGGGCATACATATGTATATTACATTAGTAATCGTGAACAAAACCCTGCAGTAAAATTAAGAGACAGTCTG